AATTAAAGCAAGCAAGAGGTCAACTACAGGAACAAAATCAAGAAATTAGTGATAAGTATGAAGAATGGAAGAGAGCTAAGGAAGAAATGGGAAAGAGAGTGGGTGAAGTAGAAAGTCAACTAGATCGAATAGAGAGAGAAAAGAGAAGAAATAAAGTAGTGATGATGGGATTGGAAATAGAAACAGGAGAGCAGAAGCAGATAATTGGAAAGGTGACAACATTTTTAGAAGAGAAAGTCAAAGTAGAGAGTAAAGTTAAAAGCGCGTGAAAAATTGCAGAGAAAGTTTATGTAGTGGAATTCGAAAACAGAGAAGAAAAAATAAATGTAATGAAAAACAAGGGTTATCAATTTACATAAATGATGATCCAACGAAAACGAAAAGAAAAATTCAAAACAAGATAAAAGAAGAGGCAACAAAAAAGGAATAAAGGATGCAGATAGGGATCTCGGAAAAAGGGAAGCTGGTACAAAATTAGGAGAAAAAGGGGTGAAGGCACTGTTTTGGAATGTCCAAGGGTTGCGAAAAAAGGAAAAGGAGTTCTGGGACTACGTGGGAAAATTTGATTGTTGTTTGTTGTTGTTGTTGTTGCTGTTGCTGCTGTTGTCTTTTGCTCGGAAGCTTCGAGTCACCTTGATGTTGTGGGGCTAGTAGAGACTTGGGTACAAAGAGAAAACTGGGAGAAATTGGAAGAGACACTACCACAAGAATATGTGTGGGACTGTCAAGGGGCGACAAAGAAAATAAAAAGGGGAGAGCAAGCGGGGGAATAGTAATGGGAATTCGAAAAGAAATGCAAGAATTGAAAAAGGGAAGTAATAATAAAAACGGACTAATGAAGAAAGTAATACAGCTGGATAACAATCGATGGGAAATAATAACCGTTTATAACAAGAAAATGGAGGAAACCAAGATAAACATAGAAAAGGAAACAAAAGAAAAAGGAGATGAAAAAATACTTATAGAGGGGATTTTAACGCAAGATTGGGCGATAAGGGGACAAGAATAATAGATAAAGAAAAGGGAGAAAAAAGAGGATCAAAAGATAAAGCAAATAACAAAGGAGGGAAAATATTGTGGCAGATAATAGAAGAAATAGGATGGGAAATTTTGAATGGAAACAAGGAAGGAGATGAAGAAGGAGAATGGACGTACGTAGGGGCGAGGGGAGAATCAATTATAGACTATGGGATTGTCAACGAAGAGGCGTGGGAAGAAATAGAGAGTTTTAAAGTGGGGGAAAGGGTAGAATCAGACCACATGCCTCTAGAAATAAAAATCAAAGGAAAAGAGCAAGAGTACGAAAAACAAGAGAGAAGAAATGAAAGAAAAGAATTAGAAAAAAGAATATGGGATGAAAAGGGAATTCAAAGATACAGAAGTACACTAGAAAAAAAGAAATTCGAAGTAAAAGAAGATATAGAAGCTATTCTGGTGGAACTGGGCAACCTAATTGTAGAAGTTACGAAAAAAAGAAAGATATACATATGGCAAGGGAGGAATAATGGATGGAACGGAGAATGTAGTGAGTTGAAGAGAAAAGCAAGGGAAAAATTAACAAAATGGAAGAATAACAAGGGAAGGAAAGAAGAGTACCTAAAAGCAAGAGAGAATTATAGGAGAAAATGGGAAGAAAGAAAAAGAGAAAAACGAGAAGAAGAAGAGAAGACAATAAAGTCCCTGAAAACAGAAGACCAAATATGGAGATATATAAACAAGGAACGGAGAAGGAAGACTGAAGTCAGCGGGAAAATCAAAATACATGAATGGAAAACACACTTTATGGAATTATTGGGAGGTTGTGAGGAAAAATGCTGCAAAATAAATAAAGGAATCACAACGACGAAAAAAATGTCGAGACGTTCGGAAATAAAATATGAAATAGGAAGACAGATTGAAAGACTGAAAAGAGGAAAGCCACCAGGAGGGGATGGAATCCAGAGCGAAGCGTGGATGTTCGGGACAGAAGGAGTGAAAGAAAAGATATGGGAAGTGGTAATTGAGTTTGGAAGGGCAAAGGGTTTCCTCGGCAGTGGAGAGAAGGCATAATAATCCCATTATTTAAAAAGGGGCAAAAAAGTGATGTGAAGAACTACCGAGGGATTTCTTTGCTCAATACGGCGTACAAGATATATGCAATGATACTCGATGAGAGGTTACGAAAGGAGATGCAAGCAAGGGGTATGTTACCAGACGGTCAGGCAGGGTTTAGGAAAGGAAGAGGTACTATGGACAATGTGTACATTCGGCGGCATTTAGTGGGAAGAGAAATATGGAAAGAGGGTGGACAAATGTATGCATTGTTCATAGATTTCAAAGCAGCGTTTGATAGCGTGAATAGAGAGAAAATCTGGGAGTATTTGAGGAGAAAGGGAGTAGATGCATACTTGGTAACGAAAATGGAACAAATATATGAACAAACAGTAAATACGGTGAGAGTGAATGGAATAGAGAGTGAGAGTTTTTATACAAATAGAGGAGTGAGACAAGGATGCCCACTCAGCCCCGCATTGTTTGCAGCTTATCTAGGAGATATAGATGAAATGTTCAGAAAAGCACAGACAGGAGGGGTGGTAGTCGGCAAAGAGAAAGTGTGGTCGTTGGCGTATGCAGATGATTTGGTGATTGTGGCAAAGAAAAGAGAAGAAATGAAAGCAATGATTAAAAGTTTGGAGAAGTATGTAAAAAAAAGGAATTGGAAGTGAATGTGGAAAAAAAAAATGATGGTGTTTAGGAAGAAAGTAAGAAAGTAAGAAAGGAGAAGGAAGAGTGGGCATGGAGAGGGAAGAACATTGAAGAGGTGAAAGAATTCCAGTACTTAGGATATACATTAATGAGCAATAACTCAGATAGAGCGCATATTCAAGAAATGGTCCAAAAAGCGAACAAAGTGATAAGAATAGTATGGGGAATAGGAGAGAGAAAATTTGGATATGATTATAAGAGAAGAATGATGATGTTTGATAGTTTGATCAAAAGTGTATTTATGTACGGAGCTGAGATTTGGGGATGGAGGGAATATGAAGAAATAAAGAGTGTGCAAGAAAAATACTTGAAATGGACATTGGGATTGGAAAAGTATACGCCGGGGTATATAGTGAGAGAAGAAACAAAAAGGGAGCAAATGAGAGTGGAAGCAGGTAAAAGGGCGGTTGGATTTGAAGAGAAGTTCAGTGAGAGAGGTGATTGCAAGATATTGCAAGAATGTTGGAAAGAAATAAGAAAGGAAAGGGGAAAACATGTTTGGAACGAAAGGGACAAGTATTATGAAGGAAAGGGATATGCATGTGAAGAAATAGAGAGAAGAAGAGAAATGGGAAGGAGTATGAAAGAAGAACTGAGTGTAAAAGATAAGGATATAGATAAGCAAGAACGTAGAGCGAGAATATCGGAATCTAGATATAATGCAGACTATAGAAAAATAGTAAAGGATGAAGTACCAAAGTACACAGAGAGAGAGTATAAAAGAGAAAAGAATGATGGCGAGATTGAGGTGTGGAAATGAAGAGAAAGAGAATAATTTTTGGATGGATGAAACTGACAGAAGGTGTAGGATATGTTGGAGAGAGGGAGAAACAATAGAGCATATGCTGGAAGGATGTGAAGGATTGAGAGAATCGCAGAAAAGCAGGGAAGAAGTGCTAAACGAGGATGGAAGAGGACTGGACTGGATGAAAGAAGTATGGAAGATAAGGGAACTATGGCAAGGGGTGGGCAAGCAGAAAGAATAGAATATTTATGATATAACACTCGAATTTTTATTTTATTTTATTTGATTTATTTTTATTGTTATTGATTTATCTGGCGTAGATTAAGTTAATTTGTACCCCTACTGGGAATATTATTAAGCCTGTAAGGCAAATAATAAATTACTACTACTACTTTTAATGGAAAGAAAGAAGAAACAAACGAAAATGAAAATGAATATAGTTACCGAAACAACCATAACGGAAGTGGAAGAGACTTTAAAACAACTGAAGAACGCGAAAGTGGCGTCACTACCATCATTTTGGAAACAATAAAACCTCGAAGTACGCTGTAATACCCAAAAATTAGTTCAAATACCCACCAACACTAAATCCAAAAAGACGAACTGCACAACAGAAACACTTATTTCAAACCGGCGTGTGCTCGCCTAGCAACATTGTATTCAATCACTGATAGTGATATTTTTGACTTTAAAGCAGCTGGCGTTTTGCTTAATAATTGTAAATTCATATGCATAAAACCTTCTCGAAATAATGATCTAAACTACATCGAAATTAAGTTTGTTCGTAAAATTCAGGACAGAAATCGAAGTAAATTACGCCATTGTGGAAGCTGAAATTGTATTCGCAGTTTTCTTTTTCATCTCTCCAAACTAATTAACAGCATATCAAACCAGTACAATTAAAATTCTCGCAAAAGCACAAAGTAAAAATAAACTAATATGTACTATGTAACACGATGTATTTGCTGCAAGCTCCAATGTAGAATTCATACAATTATATTCTTTGCGTGTTCATAACAACAACTATGATGAGCGTTATTTTTATAATTAGTTTGTTGTTGCTTCCAACTAAAGCAAATTAGGTCGCCCAAAAAAAAATTACCTTTAAACATTAAAAACAGATGACAGTATTCAGCATAAAACGTAACAACCACATAACTTAACTGTAATTACGAAAAAAAAGAACAAAGGGATTGTGGGATATGTAGTTGACAAACCCTCAACTACGCACTGACAAACGTCTCTCGTGATCACGAAATTTTACTTCCAATTTTCTAGAGTTTCTCCCATTCTCAACCGAATTCGACACAAAAAGCACACAGATGTCAAGAAAAGTCTTTGAGTTTTACGTTTGGCAACAAATCAATTTATTATTTGTTTAGTGTATTATTCATAGTTATGAAAATGCGTTAGTCGTGTTAGAAATAGCAAACCAAAATATTTACATGTGACCACAAGCTTCATGCAACACCTAGAGTTAAAACAGTCAACAATACCGTCACAAACTCACTTGTAAATATTTATAATTCGATTTGCTTCTCGGAATCCAGTCTCAATAGCCCCATGAACAGTGGAGTAATATTTAGAATGAGTAGCTTCTCCCGCAAACAGCAAAACGATGTTGTTTTTACTATTAATGACAGGATCAGCTAAATCTTCATTCGAAATTTTGTTTGTTTCTGTTTCTAGAGACATATATGAGTAGGCACCACGAAAATGGGGATTGTTTTTCCAGTTAAACCTACAAAAACATTTGTGAAGATGTTTCTTGGAGAAAAAAGGAAACAATAACCTCAACATTCCATTCGGTGGGGTGATATCAAACGTTTTCCCGACAAACTTGCGTAAAAGATGCATACATCCGTCCATTACTAAATCATCAGATAGCATTTCGACTTTTTCAACCATTTCGCCAACCAGCCATCCCACAAGAACATTAGGCTGGTCATCGATTACATAGAAACCATAGATATCTTCCAGCCATAACCGTCCATGGCTCACAGGTCCATGAGCAAAGTCTTTTAAGATCTGTTGCCTGTCGTCTTTGTTCCAGACAAAGCTAAATCCTTTCGAATCGGCGGGCCACCATGCACTTGGAAATTTTAAAAGAATTTTGTGTATATTTCCAAATGCCATGTATTTAATAGCTGTTTGTTTTTGATCAGGTAAAGGTGGCACAAAATTGTGTAACATATGTTTTAGAACCCCTAGAGACACAGTCACTATCAATTGGTCACAGGTATACGAAGAACCGTCAGAGCATTCGACGGTAACGTCATTCCCCGAATCCCACACTATTTTGGTTACCTCTTTACGGAAAAGTATTTTCTCTTTAACCGGAAGTTCTCTAACAGGATTAGGAATCTTTTTCTAAAAGATGGAGATTATACCCACTTTGAATTACGAAAGATTGTCCTAGTACAGTTAAAATATCAAAAATAGTTGTATAGCCTTTACTCTTCCAGTGAAGATATAAATCACCTTCACACTCCTGGTAGCGATACGGCCCTGTAGTAGACACGGAAAACCAGTCTTGTGCAGCTTCCAAGCCCATCCAAGCCTTATGAAACCACTCTAATAACAACTCAGAGACTTCCTCCGCGCGCGGTTTCTTTGATAAGATCTCGCTAACGTTCCTCGTGTACCTACATAAATAAAGCTCATTCACCACACATGTTGAATTTTCAAAAATCAATTCACAACTCTTACTCGTGAATAAAATAGTGTCCAAATGTCCCTCCGAATTTCGAAGCATGGTCTTCATTCTCGAAAACACTATTGGCTAATGCACAGAAGTCATCGGTAAGGGATTTGTCCAGAACTTCACCATTTGATGAGTAAAACGTGAAATCTTTGTAGTTGTTGACCGATGAACCCAAAAGGTCTAAATTTTTGGTCATCTTGTAAACAATGTTGTCTTTTTCGCCGTGACACCATTGTGCTCCTAGATCTACCGTACGACCATCGAATTCCACGGAGTTAATGCGGCCACCAATCCGATTTTCGGCCTCTAATATTATTACATCGTTAACTCCATTTTCTACGAGAACAGAAGCAGCAGCTATACCGGCAGCACCCGCCCCTATAATTATCACTTTAGGGCTAGCCGACATGTGGAATAATGTTCTGGTCGCTGATCTGAAACTATTAGTGAACTGGTGTAGATAACTACGTTTGTTGTTGACCGGTTATCAGTTGAAACTCACTATCTAATGATAACGTTAATTCGATAAAGCACTACATCGACTCGAAACTAAACGGACACGAGTGAGAAAGCAATATTTACTGTAGTTTTTTGTTCGTCAGACATAATTTTTGACAACTACAAGAAGACAGGTGTTAACAACAAATTTTAACCTACCTGCCTTGCTTGCTTCCAAATTAAAATTTTGCAGTCTTGACACGTGACCTTCCACATTTAAATGCAGCGTTGGTGCATCTTCAATCAAAAAATTGTCTAGCATAAAAAAAACATTTGAAGATAAACGTAAAGTGAAAAAAGATTCCGTGCCGTTTAACTTTAAATAAGAATGAATACGCAACAAACGTTTGTAAATTCCGAACCCAGCGTTTCCATTGGTTAGAAAACATGTACCTTGGGACCAGACAGGACTTTGGTATTGTTCATACAACTCTCATCTCTTCGACGATTCTAATGTAATAAAATATTAAAACTATTCTGTTAATATAAATCCAGTTTTTGTAAAACAACAGCAGTGTCATAAAAAAATGATAAAAACACTGTGTTTAGCTAGAAGTGTGTCTGTTTGTCTATAAACAGACTCCTGTACTAAAATTAAAAAATAATATTTACCCAGTTCCACTCAACAATATCTTATTACTCTTCCTTTGAAACAAATAAACTTGAGTAACCATAAAAACCATACAAAACCGAATTATCTTGATCCGTTCCTCCTAGTACAATTTATATTTTCTCAAGATTATTTCTACGATTGTAAACGAAAATAGACCTTGCTTTTTTATGTTCATACGCATTAAAAAATTTTAATCTGAACTTTAAAATACATGCAGTTCGCTTATCTTTATAGGCTGACCTTTCAGTAATTCATACCAAATTAATTACTGGTGGACAAACTCGACAGTTCTGACCCATGTGTAAAATTATAGCTTCAAAGTCCTTGGTCAAGTATACAATATTCAAATTTTCTGAAACTAATTTAAATTTCTAACCTAAGTAGGCTTCGGAATAAAGTCATGCCAATTTTCAGCATGTTCACTTTTTACTTCTCGAGCGTAAGCGAAGAGGTTTTGTAATCGAATCTATCGGGCGACTTGCTACTTTCACATTTTCTCGACGTTCCATTATCCCAAGAATACAAAAAAGTGGTCTCCCATTTCCGTCTGTTGTTGTCTGTGTCGTTTTTTATTAAACAGATAATCTCCGAAATTGCTCGACCGATTGTAACCAAATTTTGTATGTGTATTAGGAATGTTATGCAGATGATAAAACACTAACCAAAATTTGGATAATCATCCCGACCAACAATACTTTTTACTTCTCGAGCGTAAGCGAAAAAGTATTGTAATCGAATCCATCGGGCGACTTGCTACTTTCACATTGTCTCGACGTTCCATTATCCCAAGAATACAAAAAAGTGGTCTCCCATTTCCGTCTGTTGTTGTCTGTGTCGTTTTTTATTAAACAGATAATCTCCGAAATTGCTCGATCGATTGTAACCAAATTTTGTATGTGTATTAGGAATATTATGCAGATGATAAAACACTAACCAAAATTTGGATAATCATCCCGACCAACAATTTGATGACGTCCGCTCATTATATGTATTGCGTAATTGACATTATCTAAATTTTATGAAATAATATACTCCTGTATTTGTGGTTTACGAATCTACCTTGACTTTTTTTAATATGTAACAGTAAACAGTCAAAAGTACACATATATTCAAACTTTGAAAAAACATGTTTTATCGTTGGTTATCTGTTTCAAATATATTTCGTATTGACCGCACTCATGAGGGTATTATTTATGCCACTGGTTTACTTTATAGAAGTGATCACAAAATAAAGATCGCAAAGTCAAATTTTACAAAGATTACAAATATAAAGAATCGCATATTATATAAGTATTACGTTGTTAAAGTAAACCAGCTTGATAATACCTTTACTTGTAATTGCAACGCCCTGTAATATAAGTAATAATAATAATATATATAATACTAGTTCTTGCTAAGTTAAGACTGATTTTGGCAAATGACATATCCTCTAAGAAAATAAGGGGCGGGTGGGCGGGGCTAGCACTTACTCAGATGGACTGGTTTTGGCAATGACATATCCTTTAAGAAAATAAAGGGCGGGGGCTAGTACCTGTTAAATGAGACTAATTTTGGCAAATGAACCCTACTCGTTATTGTCCCTGAAAAGTTGAATTTTTTATTGTTTAAAAAAGGTGAATTCTGAAAATATTTGTAATTATCTGCTGAAATTGGGCACACTTTGGCAATTTAAACGTGCTTTTTTAAAAATCAAACATTTATTCCAAACAACTTTTCCTGCAAATTTTTGTGAAAATAAAGCTGAAAAAAGAAATTTAAAATGCGAGCGCAGCGAGCACATTTAGGTGTAAGTTAAAAAATTATTAATTAGTATCCCTGAAAAGATAAATTATTAAGAACGATTAAAAATGTGACTTTAAAGATTGCTGACCGTTCATTGGTAGATGTTTTTAAGACACTTGTGGTGTTTTGAAAAAAAAATTAATCAAGAGAATCGTTAAACAAATATAACTAATTATTGCTGTTTTTCTAATCGGAAATAGGCGAATTTTCGACCGACGCTAACACGTGGTGTAAATTTGATTTATTATGTGTAAATTCACAGTTCATGTTAGGATTTTAATCGTTACTGGTTCTAACACAACTTAACAATCATGAGATTGTTCACTTAGTCAAAACTCATCCTTTGTTTATCAAGTTATAAATAAGATTTGTCGATACTTATACTTAAGTGTTACATTATAACACTTCTAAATTCCTCACAAGATTACTAATAGTTCATTTACGGCAGTTTAATTAACCTAACGTTGTCCCACTCTAGGAAAAGAGACCGTGGAAAGTGCGGTAGAATTCATAATATCATGAACTGAGGGACGGAAGGATTAATTTTTTTCCCCTTAGGCAGTTATCATCTGGACATCATCGACACGTATTTCTTCTCTCCAAGCTAATTGTTTTAAGTAAGCAGTCACTTGGATCAAGGCATAATTCAACATAATGTAAATTATTTGTTTAAATCGTTAATAAAGTGGGCCATAATTTAACATAATGTAAATTATTTATTTGAATCGTTGATAAAGTGTGGCATAATTTAATATCATGTAAATTATTTGTTTGAATCGTTAATAAAGCGTGGCAAATATTAACCTCATGTAATTTTGTTACCTTTGCAATTTTTCATCTCATGTAATTTTTCTCTGCCTCACAATTCTACCCTCAGTAATTTTCTTTGCTGTATAATTTAAATTGAACGTAAATTTTCATTCTCTGCAGTTCCTAACCTCACGTAATTTTTTTGTGTCTGCACAAAATGGACTTCACACCAGATCTTTTTTGTTTTTATAAATCTTTGCTTGTTTTTTTTCCACATAAATATTGCGACGAAATTCCGGATGGGACGGGACGGACGGTCCGGTGACGGTCCGGAATCTCGCCGATAACGTATGGGGTGGCGGCGTACTTGAGTGCCAAGCTTTGGGTCGACTAGTATCGCTGATATCAGAAACACGTCTGGTCGACCAAGCTTATGCGGCTACCTTCACGCCGCCGGGGGTGGCGCCTTCGGTCAGGAGCGACGGTCGCTCGGGCGCCAGCTCCCTCTCCGGGGGAGGGAGCGCCGGGGTGCTCTAAAGCCGGAGACACGGAATTCAGGTGATGAGCCGCCGCGAAAACTCGAAAATAAGAAATAAAACGGCGAGGATGTGTTATAACAAAAATAGGGTTTATTCCCTGCCACCAGCTACACGTTCTAAAATAATAAAACTTACGGCTAAACAACTTAAATAACTACAGACAAATAAATAAAAATAATTAAATGCCCGGCACGGTCGTTCCTCCTGGGCGGCGACTTCCTTCAGGCCGGGCTCCTCGTGGCTCTGGGGGCGGCGACCTTGAACCTGGAAATCGCGCGAAGACGGTACGGCGACCCGGGAGGGGAGCGCGGTGACGGTAACGACGCGTGCACGACGGTGTCGACTTTCGACGGTGACAAAAAAAACGCGGTGACGGTGACACGGTTTTTCGCTCGGGGGTGGCGATTCCAAAACCGGTACTAAGACGGGCAGACGACCCAAAAAGGTACTTACGGTGGGTCGGAGGGTCAACTGCAGGCTTCTCAAACGAAACTTCTTAAAAACACCCAAAATCACTCAAACAGCCCCAGCACTTCTGCACTCTCTGGAGTTTCAGGTAAGAGTCCTCTTCCGCCGCGGCGGCGCGGCGGTCGCCAATTTACCCCCGGCTCTCGCGGTACGCGGTACGGTTTCCGGCCCGCGAAAATTCGCTTCGTTACAATATTTTGTTGATTAATGCTTCCATCATAAACTGTCTGCTGTCCATCTTAATCTCAGATAATAATTCTTTGCTGTTTCAAATTTCACGAGAGTGTATTGCGAATTGAAATCTTGTTTATTGAAATAGAATTAAACTTTTTAAACTTTAACACTTATTCGGTTGTAGTTTAATATCAGAGTCATAGAAATTGAACATTTAAATGGAATTGAGGTAAATAACACATAACACGTGGCGGAAGCGGAGTGCGCGGTTCCTTGTCGAGCTGGCGATCGCGCCATGTGCACAAAAGACGCAGATCTTAAATATTAGTCAGGAGAGCGATCGGGATGACGTGACGCTCGCGGCTTGTCCCAATAGCCGGGATTTCCAACCACGAGTTTGCGATCGTAACGGCCTGTTAACGCGGCACGTTTCTTCGTTAGATAGAGGGGTGGTGGGCGGCATGTGCTTACGATAAAGTAGCATCACCGTCATGGTGGGAGAACAGCCACAACCAGGAGCCCCAAACTCCGCTCATGCTACAACGCCCCCTATGGGTAATTTTGCTGTGCTGTAGAATGAAATTAATATAGGTGTCCCCTCAACGTTTGGAGTCGT